TTCGGTTTCACTTATAACCTTTATGGGCCATACAGATATCTCTGACTAACATTTTCATGAATCATTCAGTATTATAAACAGTACAAAAGATAATCACGGTATAATGAAAGATTCATGCTATATGTGCTTATAATGTGTAATTATTCCATATTGCATTTACATTGCTTTTTCTATCCATGTATGTGCTTGATTGTTTCTTATTTTGTTTGAGATATCCACTGAGCTTATTATTGCTCAGCGAATTACCTGTTTTAAACTCGCAGATTTTGAGATTGGTCCAGTAGAGAGTCGGCTTACAACTGCTGCAGTTCATTCTATAGAAAAACTAGTTCTTCAGGCGGGTAGCTACTCATGATGTGTATTTTTTTTCTACCCTTTTTATGGCATGTAACAGGGCAACAGTTGGGCCCCATTTCATTTTGTAAACTAGTTTATTCATGTTTTGTAAATATTAAATTACATTTGTTTGTAAACAGCATCACGCATTGATATTATATTCTATATACATTATGTTTTCAGCATGTCAGGCTATACAGTCAACCAGTTTGTTAACGTCTCGGTTCGGTTCATTCGGGTTTACGGGCTCGGACCGGACGGCGGTGTTACATTATATACTTGCTTTCAATATTTCTATTGACGTCTTTCAGCATAAGTGATGCATATACATCCCCATGCCTAGGTTACTCATTTTAATGATTTCTTTAAGATGATTTTGATTGATAAGTCGATAACAGGACTCAATTTTGACATTTTCCATCCCACAACAAAACTATGTTGTGAATATTGATTCAAGTTTCCTTTGCCATGGAGTGTTCAATATAAATATTGAGCATGAAGAAAAATAATCAAGGTATTAGAGAAAATGCAGTGCGTTGAAATCAGCATGGTAAAAGAAGGGCTTCCAAAGATGTAGACTAGGAGAGACATGTGACTAGACATTAATATGACTATTTTTCAGTATTAGTTATTAACATATTTTAGCATAATACAAGTTCAACTCGAAGCACTTTATTCTTTTTGTAATTGGTCAACTCATTAGAATTGAAGGAATTGAATAATTGTTGAATTGTCAATCTTTGATAGTTTAACAAATGGTGCGGTGGAGCGTGAAAAAACACCTTTTTTGATATTCTATTAAAATACGAGCTTTAACCTTTTATTTTTTTTTAAAAGGAATATATAATATATATATATATATAATATATATATTTATGGTTAGAAAAAGTTTTGGGCTTTAGAGGGGATGAGTTTTAGATTTCTCAGGCAGTGGGATTATGTTTCCTTGCGGAGAGAACTGCTGTTTGCACTCGCTATGGAGGTAAGCCATATTACTTTTTGGATAAGGATCGATGTAATTACATATTAAAACTTCAATATTGGCTGGTTTTGTGTTTCTTGCCTAGTTGAAGCTTTTTCGATTTTTTCGGTTCGATTTTTTCTCAAATATTTTAAAACTTCCAATATTAAAAACTTTTCATTTGCGATTTTTCTTTCTTTCGATTTTTCTTTTTCTTTCTTGTGTTATATTCTTTTCCTTTTTTATCCCCTCGATGGTTCTTTGGTTATATTCATAAGAGGTGTTAGTTCTCCATTGAAAAAGAAATTACTTGAACTAATATATGCTAGCATTTAGACACCATATTTTTGCAGGTGAATAATTGAAAGCAAGACAGATATAAAAGTGTACCTTTTGTGAGATCAATATCCAACATCATATAGTGGATGATAAATCCAACTGATGCCTTCTAAGTAAATCATTAGCTAAGTGCAAAAATTATATTTTTGACTACAGGATAGCCTTAAACCCATTGGTCATGCAGAGGAACATGCTTACAGAGTAAGGGTGGCCATATTACGGCTTCGGGAACCGGAATCGTCGGTTCGAATCGGTCCCGAACTGTAACCGGAACTAGTGGGAATCAAAATCGATCCGAACCGGAACTAGAACCGGAGATTTTTGGTTCGGTTCCGGCTCCAGATTTGTGGAACCGCAAACCGGTAGTTCCACAAAATCGGTCAAAACCGGATTGGAACCGCTGGTTCTCCGGCCGGTTAGAACCGGTTCGAACCGGCGGTTCTAGCCGCGGTTCTAGCCGTTAGAAACTGTCAGTTTTTGTGTTTTTTTTTTTTAAAATTTTTGTTGTGAAAATCTCAAGTCCTTTAAAAATAAATTTAATTGAACCCATTTTTAATTTTTGTGTTTTTTTTTTTTTTACGAAATTTATATTCTTACAAATTTTTTTTACAAATAACTTTTACAAATTTATTAAATTTTGAAAACCGGTCTTCAAAATTTAAAATTTAAAATTATGCGATTTGCCAAAAAATCGGTTGAAAAACTGATCGGAACTGTTGATTTTGACACCGTACCGGAACTGGAACCGTTCGGTTCCAAACCGGAACCGAAATCGAAAATTTTCGGTTCGGTTTCGATTCCAGTTTTTTTGGAACCGGAACCGTGGCCACCCCTATTACTGAATGACTAATAATAATTCAATTTAAACAATAAAGGAATATAAAGCAATAATCTAAACAGTAAGAAAGTAAAGACTAAAGAGAATTGAAAACCACTAAATGAAATGTGTAAGTAACAACATTGATTTATAACTGTGTAAGGAAGCTTATGTTTTTATTACTTAGCTTGAATATTTATTCACCCAAAACCACTAAATGAAATGTGTATTATGGTGAAAAGATAATTTAAGTAAATAAATATTTTTTTATTGAACCATTAATTAACTTTGTGGGCAATTAACAAAACACTTCATCTCGTTTACTTTTTGCTGACTAGTGGTCATATCCCACATTTGCACTAAAACTAGCAAATGATTTGTGTGTCTTCTTAAAAAGATTATTTGAAAATTTAAAATTTATATAATGTATTAAAACTGTCAATTCAATTTATGATTTTAATACAAAATAAAAATTAGTATTTATTCCTAATAACCAACAAAATTATTTAGTCAAAAGAAACTCACCTCAAAAAGAGGGATCACAAATACCGGCGAAATATTGATAGATAATGCTCCTGGATATCTCTCTCTATAACCAACTCCATCCTATCTTCTTATATAAGACGTAGACCTTTCCACAAAAAGAGGCAAATGAACATTCGTATTAGAGTTCAACATTATAATATTACTATCCTGTTATTTTGAGACTATTAATTCCTGTAGTTATTTTTTATTGATTGATTGTTAGCACGGATTAATTTTTCTTTTGCACTGAACCGCTAATTGAGTTGGTGCTTTCAGTGTAATATTCTCTTTTCATGGCATGACAAATATTTAATTGGTAAATAGTTTTCATTTCACATTAGATTTATAAATAGTTTTTTTAAAAACATTATTTTTGTCAAAATCCTCTTTTCTAGGAATAAAAAAAATATAGCAATCATTATTAAAAAAAATATAAGCAATCATTATAATATATAGTATAAATAATAATATATATATATATATATTATTATATATATATATTAGAGTATATACTCCTCTTTAACCTTTGGATATTGATTTGCCTAAGAGCTCATCTGTGAAATGAAATTTGTTAACAATAATTTTTTTTTGGATTGAAAATATTTCTTGATTATTTATTAAAGAAAAAATAAGAAGATATATACTCCTCTTTACCTTTGGATATTGATTTGCCTAGAGCTCATCTGTGAAATAAATTAGTTACAATAATTTTTTTGGATTGAAATATTTCTGATTATTTATTAAGAAAAAATAAAAGAGAATAATTTTATTTTAATCAGTTTAATTTATGAATGGAGTCATACACAATGAAAAAACATATCTACATCTTGTGTATAGGTCCATTATAGATTAAACTAATTATAAATTGTATTTTAGTTCAAATTATGACATTTTTAAATGTACATTGAGAAAAAAAGGACAAAATGGTAATATTTTACAAAATATTTTTTTGATTGGGTTGGTAGGGATTAGAGATGGCCATCGGTTCATTCAAATCAGAACCGATCAAAAATAAACTATACTGTAAATGAATCAAAACCAGACTAGAACCATTGGTTCAAGATTTAAATCGAGACCGATGGTTTAAGGGTTGATTAAGTTTACATGAATGTTAAAATCTGAACTTGAACCGGTCTAGAATCGGTGGTTCCAGTCTAGTTTGAACTAGAAATTCTTTTTTTCTTAAATTATAATCACTTAACCTATTTTATAAGCCTTTAAAAGTCTAAATAATCTTTTATAACATGATACACTTTACTTAAATTTTTTTTCCGAAATTACACTTTACTTAAAAGTTAAAAATCTAAAAAAGTAAAATGATAAAAACAAGTGAAATATTTAGTTTTAAGTTATATTATTTGATAGTTAATATTTTTTTTTCCTTTTAAATCTTTTACTAGTTCAAAATTATATTATTTGAAGCATTTTTTAACATTTTCTAACAATTTATTTAATTAATAACATTTAGACAAAATAAAATAATAATTTATTTAATTATTTTGTAAAGTTACTTAATTTTATTTCTTATACAAGTATGAGCATTTTAAAAGTTATCTACAATAAAATTTACTAATATTTTTTTTAAATTCACATTAATTTTCAAAAGAAAAACATAATTTATAACCTTGGAACTAAATTTTTATTATTTTTTAAATAAAATAAATATCATAAAAAACCCTAATCGGAGCCATCGCTTTATCAAATGGCTGCAAAATCGATCAAAATCGAAATTGACTGAAACTCAATTGAATGGTCAATTCAGATTTAACATTTTAGAAATTTTAAACTGTGGCATCGGTGAATGGGAACCGGAGGTAATCAACTGGTCATGACAACTGGCGTAGGCAACTAATTTTCCATTCACTGGTTACATTTCACCGTTTCCAGTAATTGGTTCAGAAGGATGCGTGATTACGTTTAATACGTAAGCATTGATTTACGTGGTGCGCAGTTTACATTCATCTTAAAAGTCAAAGCAATTACCATTATAAGTCAAAGTCCAACCCCACGTAACAACGCCCTTTATAAATACATTAACAGTCTGCATTACAATAATCCCAGAAGAAAGGAGAAGAGAGAAACAGAACTGCAGTTCCACCCCCCTCCCTCCCCCGAAAAAACAAAAAAAACATAAACATTCACCTCTCTTCCCTTTCTCAAATTTTCATTTCACTTATTCCGGGAAACAAACACAACTTAAAAGAAGCTTAAATGCCAAGAAAAGGTATGAGGAGCCTTTGCTTTAACCCAAAAACGCCGTCGTTTGCCCTTTCTCCTCTTTCTTCGCTTTCAACAACTTCTCCCTCAACTCCTGGCCGTAGAATATCTGAATCCACAATAGAACAAATCATAGAAACTGCTTCGTCGATGATTATGAAATGGAATCCTGAAGGTTCCACTTACGCCAGAGTCACTTCTCTTTTCTATGAGAATAAAAAAGAAGCTATGCAGTTTTTGAAGTGTGTAAACGATTTGCAAAAGTCCATGCACTTATTATCCTCTGAAGGATCAACCGACGGCAGAATTGTAAAAGCTCAACACCTCATGCAAATCGCCATGAAAAGACTGCAAAAGGAGTTCTATCAAATACTTTCGATGAATCGGGCTCATTTAGATCCCGAATCAGTTTCTGTTCGATCTTCTGGTGCTTCTACGAGATCTAGTACGTCCGATTACGAAGACGATGGTTCAGCGGAGGATGATGTGCGTGTTGCAGGTGATTCCATCTCTGAAGTTGAAGACGTTTCGTCAATTGCCATGGCGGACTTGAGATCCATTGCGGAGTGCATGATCGCTGCTGGTTATGCAAAAGAGTGTGTAAATGTTTATAAAATTATTCGAAAATCGATAATCGATGAAGGCATTTACCGGCTAGGCGTAGAGAAATTGAGCTCATCGCAGATTCATAAAATGGATTGGACGGCGTTGGATTTGAGAATCAAAAGCTGGTTAGAGGCAGTTAAAGTTTCGATGAGAACTCTTTTCACCGGAGAAAGAATTCTCTGCGATCACGTCTTTGCTGCGTCTGATTCCATCAGAGAATCTTGTTTTACTGAAATATCCAAAGAAGGCGCTAGTCTTCTCTTTGGATTCCCTGAACTTGTAGCCAAAAGAAAGAAATCAACCTCATCATCGCCATCGGAGAAAATGTTCCGTGTTCTCGATATGTACACTGCAATATCTGAAAACTGGATGGAGATTGAATCTATCTTCTCTTTTGATTCACTCTCCATCGTACGATCCCAAGCCCTTGCTTCACTCGTTCGACTCAGTGAGTCGGTTCTCGTAATGCTTTCCGATTTTGAGTCGAGTATTCAAAAGGACTCGTCCAAAACACCTGTTCAAGGAGGTGGTTTGCATCCATTAACTATTTATTCGATGAATTACTTATCTCTGCTCGGTGATTATAGTTATGTCCTCACCGATATTATCTCGGATTGGCCTCCACCGGCGAAGTCATCGCTACCTAAATCTTATTTCGACAGTCCAGATTCCGATGATTCTCCGGCACCGCCGATATCCGTTCGTTTCGCTTGGCTAATTCTGGTTCTTCTATGCAAGCTAGATGGGAAAGCGAAGCATTACAAAGATGTTTCTCTTTCGTATCTCTTCTTAGCCAATAATCTACAACACATAATATCAAAAGTTCAGACTTCGAATCTCCAGTATTTACTCGGCGAAGACTGGATAGCGAAGCACGAAGCGAAAGTGAAGCAATTTGCAGCGAATTACGAGAAGTTAGCTTGGGGACAGGTGTTTGAGTCATTGCGGGCAAAGCCGACGGCAGACATTTCGCCGGAGCAAGCCAGGGAGAGTTTTAAACGATTTAATTCCAGCTTTGAACAGTCGTACCGGAAACAAAGTTCTTGTATTATATCTGACCCGAAACTCCGAGATGAAGTGAAGGGTTCCGTAGCGGGAAAGATTTCTCCAATTTATCGCGAGTTTTATGATAAGCAAAGGAATGCTGTACCGGGACGGAGGAACCTGAAGTTATTAGTCAGATATACCCCTGAAGATGTAGAAAATTACTTGTCAGATTTGTTCTTTGGAAATGAGACGATCGAGTCTGTTTCCGTCAATTCACATTCATCTTCCTCTGCGTCGTCGTCTCAACAGCGGCATTAATTGTAATCAAGTTGGCAGCTTCGGAGTTTTTTCTTTTTTTCTTATATTCTTTTCTTTTTTTATTTTTGAATCGCCAAGGGCCCACAATGTATTTTGAGAAATGTTGGACACATTTCATAGATGATGCAGTTGTTTACGTGTAAATTTCATAAAACGATACGTATACACATATGACATATCATATACACTTGTCTATTGATTAATTTAAATCAGTTTTTTTTTTAAAGGAATTAATTTAAAATCAGTTAATGATTGCAAACGCATAAACTACACTCACACAATTAAAACAGAAGAAGCTATTGTCTTGCAGGTGAAGGGCAATTTAAGTGTAATATTAATGTGGCCTTACTGCAGAATGGTCATTTTTGGAATGAACATTTGAACAAGGGTGTGCCCTTCTTTTCTTTTGTATGATTCCTTATTTTTTGATATTAATAATATGATGTTGGGTCCCGGCAATAAGATTACGAGAAAAATAACACAGTGGAAAAATAAAAATATGACACAGATATTTACGTGGTTCACCGGCAATAAGATTACGAGAAAAATAACACAGCGGAAAAATAAAAATATGACACAGATATTTACGTGGTTCACCCTTTAACTGTTAGGGCTACGTCCACGGGATAAAAACTGAATAATTCTTCCACTATTAAAAATAGTAGGCTTACAAAGAGAGTAATACAAAATAGTGGCACTCACACCGTGTTTTCCAAATTATCCTCACTATTCTCTCGACCCGAGTTTTAGAACCCAATTCTAAAACTCAAATTCTCTCAAAAAAAAACTCTCTTCACTCTTTTGGTCTGTGTTTTATGAAGCGTTGTGCAATCTCCTATTTATAGGAGGGATGGACGCGGGATTAGGAGAGGTGGACGCGTTAATTACGCGTCCACCGAAAAACGGATCACCTACCAAGAAGAAAATCACCTACCAAGAAAGAAAATTCTTATTTCCTTATTTCCATTTTCACTACGTGTGGGTCCTAGCCACGTTTTTTCTCTTTTTTTTTTAATTGTTTTCAATGTGGGTCCATTGAGTGGGCACCGCACACAAGAATCTCCCCCTGCACACTCAAGTAGGACGTTAGCCATACCGCTAGCTTTCTGCAAGTGACAAGCTTCTCAGTAGGCCAGAGCCTTAGTCATTCATCAATATCAGCGCCATTTATCATCAGTGTGCAATCTTTTCAATCTGAAAATAACTTCATCCTCCAGCGGCATTCGCGTATCCAATGATACCTCACAATCAATGTGCTTTGACCTTGAATGAAAGGTCGAATTCTTGCTGAGATGTGGTCGCGCTTGACTATCACATAGCAGAATGTCTTCTCTGTTCTACAACCCAATTCTTGTAGGAAATTATCTCATCCAAATAAGAGTTCTTGCTAAGCTCTGTAATGAGCGATATATTCCCATATTCCGCCTCAGTGGATGAGAGTGCAACGCATTTTTGCAATTTTGATTGCGAAGAAACTGCTGCACCTGCAAAGGTCATCAGATATCCAGAAGTTGATTTGCTCGAATTAACATCACCACCCATGTCTGCATCTGTGTAACCATCTAACACAGGTCTATTATCACCAAAACATAAGCACATTTTGGAAGTGCCCTTAAGATACCTGAGAATCCACTTTACAGCATTCCAGTGTTCTTTACCTGGATTTGAAAGAAATCGGCTAACAACACTAACAGCATGAGCAATATCTGGTCTTGTGCATACCATAGCGTACATCAAGCTGCCAACGGCGGATGCATAAGGAATCTTCTTCAGTTCTTCTTTTTCTTTCTCACTTGAAGGACATTGGAAGGGACATTGACTAAGAACTTAATTTGAAAATGACCTGCAAGCGGGAGTAGAAACTGGTTTTCGCAATTGCTCATATTGAATCTGCTGAGAACTTTCTCCGATATACTTTTCTGAGAACACTAGCCACGAACTTTCTCTTTTTCTCCTGTCTCTGGAGATCTTCATTCCCGAGTATCTGTTTTGGCCGATCCCAAATCCTTTATGCAAAGGATCTTTTCCAAGTTCCTTTTTCAAAGCTCTCAATTTTCCTTAGCATCTTGGGCCCACAATAAGCATATCATCCTTACAAGAGAATAATAAAGTCGCCTTCTACGAACTTTTTCAACAAATACACAAAGATCAGAAGTAGTTTTCCTCATACCCCGTGATTCACCAATGAAAGAGTCCAATTTTTTGTACGCACTGTCTGGGAGCTTGTTTGAGGCTAACAAAGCTTTTCTGCAATTTACAACACCAAGTGTTTCTTTGCCTTTGACTCTGAACTTCCTGGTTGCTCCATATATAATTTCCTCCTCTAAGTCACCATGGAAGGAAAAGCGGTCTTTACATCAGAGAGTTGCTCGGATCCTCCAAATTCAGGCTAAGCTGCTAAACCGAGCACAAACTCTGATAGAAAGACATCTTGACCTACCGGGTGAGAAAATTTCTTACAAAGTCACCTCCTTTCTTCTGACACGAATCCCTTCAAACAACCCAGTCTCGCCTTGTACCTTGGCTGTGAGTTGTTCTGTTCAGTCTTCAACCTGAACACCCATTTGTTCTTCAATGCTTTCCTTACCTTGAGGCAGTTTTCAACTAACTCAATAAAGTCCTGGTTCTCATGCAAAGGGACTCCATTCTCAATCTTGGCATGGCTTTCAGCCACTAAATTCTTTTTACAATCTTCCATTGCCTCCTGGTAGTTCTCTGGTTTCTCCCCCTTGAGTCAACAAGTCATATTCATTAGGAGAATTCTTTGGGAAGGTATCCTGCCGTTCTCTCTCGCAGATCTTCTCATATTGAGGCAGTTCTTCCTAATTGGAAGCTGGTTCAGCAATCAATCTGAAACAGGTTCATCAATGCATCTTCTTCATCATTTTGTGGTTCTATATAAAGGTCTGCATCAAGACTAACAGGAAACTTCATTGATGGACTTTGGCTGTTCATTTTTTTCCCAAAGTCTTCAATGGTTTGGGTCTTCCAGGAATACAACATCTCCTGCTTCTGATGAGCTTCTTTTTCAACTGGATCCCCATAAATCTGTACCCAAAATCAATCATTTCCATATGCCCAAGAAGATACAACTGTTTTGAACTTCGATCAAGGCTTGGATCTTTCATATTTTTGGAAGCATGAACAAAAGCCCTGCAGCAAATATTCTAGATGATCGTAAGAAAGAGTTTTTCCTTCCTGACCACACCTTTTCTGGTACATCTCCTTTGAGGGAGGTTGAAGGTGAAAGGTTGATCAAGTAAACTGCAGTATTCATTGCTTCAGCCCAAAAGGTTTTAGGAAGTTTAATATGAGAGAACATACATCGAACCCTTTCAACAATGGTCCTGTTCATTCTCTCTGCAACTCCATTCTGTTGTGGAGTTTTAAGAACTGTCTTCTGAAGTCTGATGCCATGTTCTGAGCAATACTTCTCAAATGGACCTCCGTACTCACCACCATTATCAGCTCTAACACATTTTAGTTTTCTTCCTGTTTGTCTTTCAACACTGACATGAAAGACTTTAAACATATCCAGCACCTATCCAGCACCCTGCGTCTTTTGACTTTATTGGGAAAAAGCCCACACCTTTCATAGAATGGTCATCACATACAGCTAACCATAATATAAGCAGCCACTCAAAGATTTGTCACCATCGAGCAAAAAACTCAGTGTACCTGTAAACACTAATTCTAGAATACCAGTGTTCTCCTAGATGGGTGAGAAGGAAGATCTGGAATAGGAAACTCTAGTTGCTTACCCAGACAAACAATCAGTGCATTTCTAGATGGAGAAGGAGATCTTTGAAAGGAAACTCTATGTTGTTTACCAGACAAACAATCAGTGCATATTTTCAGAGGCAAACCTTTCAGAGATAACATTTTCTTCTTAGTGAGAGTCTCCATTCCTTTCTCACTCAAATGACCAAGTCGTTAGTGCCACAACTCAGCAGATGAATCTTCAACTGCATTCACCACTTCCGTGCAAATTTTGGCCTGGGTGTAGTAGAGGGTGTTAACCTTTCTTCCTCTACCGAACACCAAGTTACCTTTGGAAAGCTTCCACGTTCTGTTGACAAAAAGATTTGCATAGCCCAATTCATCAAGACAGTGAACTGAGATCAGATTGAAGTTTGCCGTAGGAGTGTATCTCACATCTTCTAACCAGAGATCATGATCGTCATTGGTTTTGATGCATACTGTTCTAATGCCGCAATTTTCCACATATGTGCCATTCAAAGTCCCTTTTCCACATATATTCTCTGCCATCAATAGTCTTGACCCGCTCTAGGCCGTACTCTCAACTGCCCGGGAAGCGGCCCCTCTCGTGATACACACGGTGATGGAGCGCCACATATATTAACCCTTATTTGTGAAGACACACTCATCGACTAAGAAGACATGCAGAGTACAATAATCCATACACATATGGTTGTACTAGTGGCAAACCCACTCACTACTCAAGACCAGCGATGAGAAATCAGCGCCACTACCCATCACTAAGTGCTGTCCAGCATCGATATAATGCCTACTTGAAGCCTACCTCAGTCGCTATCGTCATCTTTTTATCCATCATCACTTCTTCTTTGGCTCCGTTGCTTCTTTCCACTCTTCGTGCCATATGCTCTTTTTGCACTCACCGATGACGGCGCTCTACTGCGCGTGTCACAATGATAGCACCATAGTGAACACCTTTTTCTTGACTGGACTCTTCTCACGTGAATTGTCTACGTTCTGTCTGGATTTGGCTGCGTATCTCTTGTTCTGCTTTCTCCCCTTCTCCTTTCTGTAACTACGCACGTGTGTATACCGAGTGACATCTGAAGTGGTCAGCTCATAACTGCCTCACACGCATCAACGACATTCTCCTACTACCGTTCCTGGTCTTCTTCTCATTCAGAATGGGCTTTCCTTCGACTTGTTGGTTAAGGTCAGATTTCCCCTTCCGGACTACATAGTTACTTGAGCGTAACAGTCAGTGTCTCCCAACCTGCTCCGCGCGCAAGCGAACCTCTAATAGCAGATAGTGCCTGAACGCTCTGGCTCTACAACACATGATATACACTTCGAACTCTGGTGGCAGTGCCTGCACCTGGTCGTCAAACACTATCCTTGACGTCGTCAGTTGGTTCACTATTTCTTGAAATTTGCCTAAGTGATCTGAAGCACTTTCGCCATCTTTGTACTTTAGATTTACAAGCTTTTTAATTAAAAAGGCTTTGTTCT